AAGAAGAAGACTAAAAAGAATCTGGATACTTCAAAATTCCTGAAAACCGTACCAAAACTACAACAGAGCAACTAGGCAACTTAAACGCCTTCCTAAACGAATTCAACAACCACAGGTTTCAAGATTTCATAACCCAAACCTGGTACCCCAACAGAAGACTACCAATTACTCCTTATTTAAAGCCACAGGAAAGCTAAAAAACCGACGAAAATCAAAATCCCCCAATCAGGACGGAAAACAAGAGTTGGGCCAAGAAACCCCACAGAAAAAAGCGGCACCTTGCCACATTCTTTGCCTAAGTGTATTCCAGAACTCATTACCCATTAATAAATACTAACCAGAGCAGAAATCAGAGATTATCTTAACTCCCCAAACCAAATACTCTTCCGAATCCTGCATTCACTCCCCAGGGGAAATTACCAAAAACCAATAAACTCCTTATCAAACACAAAAAGCTCCTGCTATTACTTAATCACAACCACCTCTTCTCAAAGAACTACCACGAAAGGCTAAGACTATAAATTACTGCCATTTGTCAACAGTATTAATAAGAACAGGCCTACCCGGAGCAAGTGGAAAGTTAGCCAAATTCAATTTCTTCTCAAGCCTGGGAACCTACACAGTGAACCCTCTCCTACCCGTCCCATCAGTATACTTCCTATTCTATCCAAAGCTAATTTGAGAAACTTCTTTCTATCAAGAATAGTTCTCACATAGCAACCAATAACCTAAGTCCCTGATCATCAATTTGGTTTTAGAACAACAGCATTCCTACCGTCGAACAAGTTAATAGAAATCACCAACTACATGGAATTGCTTCAAGAAAAAGAAATACTGTTCAGCCGCATTTCTAGACACTTGCCCAAGCTTTTGACAAACACATCTGGCACGATGGACTCTTATTTAAAGTCAAGAATTTTCTACCGTATCCTTCTTCAACATTATCAGATCTCTTTCTACCACACGCACTATCCAAATCAAATATCAAAATGAATTATCTGAATTCCATCCAATCAAGGCCGGAGTACCACAAGGTAGTGTACTCGCCCTTATCTCTATAACCAGCTTCTAACTACTATATACCAAAATCAACGATAAAAAACCATAGCCACTTTTGCAGATGATGACGGCCATACTAGCTTCGGATGACGACCATAATGGTCGGCATGCAGACATTTACAGAGAACATCTCGTAATGTATTGAAGATTGCGGCCAAAAAGGTGGAAATAAAATCAACGAAAATAAATGCAGTCCATATAACCTTTACCTGCAGAAAAAACCAAATGCCCTAACTGTCCACATCAACACAACAATCCAATAGTACAGGTGGAAAGTGTAAAATACTTGGAATACATCTAGACAAACGGTAACATGAAGCATCACATCTTGCACAAAAAAGCACCTTCAATTTCAAATAAGAAAAACTATACTGGATACCTAGGATACACTCAAAAACCTATCACTGGGAAAATAAACTGTTGATGATAAAGCTATCAATAATCCCAAACTATGGACACTACGGCATCCAAATCTGGGGCACAGCAAGCAAGAGTAATCTCTCGATCATCCAGAGATTTCAATCCAAGACCTTTAAGAATGATCGCGGCAGCACCATGGTTCATCACAAATGCAGCCACTGCACAAGGACTTAAAAATGCCCACTGTCTTGGAAAGAATAGAATTTATCAGCTCAAACTATCTCCAGCGCCTTGAAAACCATCCAAACCACTTAGCCTCAACATCTAGACAATAGTGAGAACATCCATCGACTAACGCAGAACCTCACCCCTACAACTCCCATATTAGATTCTCAACAAAATATTTGAAACATTACCCTCAGCTACTAAACTATCCACTTGCAGTAACCCAAAATAATACTTGCTTTTTGTTATAGTTAGAAGAAGTAGATGAAGAGTACCGATGGATACCTTCACTGGAAATCAATCAATGTCAGAATAATTCTACAACATCATATTTACTTATTATTTTGTAAAAAAATAGATTGTAAATTTTTTGTTATAAATAAAAAAACAAAAAACATATGCTTCCCATCTGATAATACAACAACCAAGTCACGTATATTGTAATTGCCATTATATGCCTTCAAGTGGACTTGTGTTTCTGGGGACAAGCTCTTCTCTTGAATAAAGAAGCCTTTGTCAGGAAAAGCCTTCATTAAATGGATCGTTTTTATGCCTGGAATTGGCAATGCATCTTTCCAATTTCTGTCTCTAGAGATACACTCTTCATTAATTAGTAAAATGTTGGCATTCATTTCCTAATTAATTGTCAAAGTCTTGAGATGATTTCACAATTGGAGATGAACTGGCTTTATTAATAACTTGTCTTCTAAAAAGAGATTTAGCTTGTCCACAAATACCGTCAACGAGATTTCAAAATGAAATTGCAATGTACTTCCACATGAATGTCTTATTAAATTTGTCTCTGAGCTGTTTCAAAAATTCAGCCATGAAACTGTTTTTAAATTGAGAATACGGTCCATCGGACCATATGACTTCATCAACCTCTGGAAGTGATTCTGCACTTGATTCTACAATGTCATACAGTTTTGAAAGAAATGCCGATACAGTTTTTTTTCTTTAAATTTTGAATCTGAACATATGATATATGTTTGGGATTTTCCATTAAATATAGAAGCTGTATTGAATAATGTTACACTTTCCCTGCTCCATAGAGCACTCTGTACTTCATTTTCATATTCACAACTGTAGTTTATTGCAAACTCTATCTGCAATGTGCGTGTCATTACCTTATCTGCATGCTTTGCCCTAGCTCTTTCCCTATCTTTCTTCTTGTTTACTTTTACCATGATAATCTGAAATTGCGAACTGTTATTTATCAGTAAGGACTATTTTAAGGTTCTTGTTAAGAATATTAAGAATTAAATTAATATTCTTACCTTTTCAAACTTAGTTATTGCTCAAAATTGCTATAAAAATTCGAAACGATAGCACACAATCCGAAAATATAACAAATCTAAACAGAAACAATTGGGAACTGCAAATTTATTTTGTCAGGCACGTGATTTTTACGTGCGGGTAACTTCACAGAAAAATGTCACGTGCGTCACTTTTCAAATGCCCCATGCGTCACAAACCAAACAAATAATAACAAATTTAATTCGATAGTATAATGACAGTTGTTTAGTGCATTGACATAAATTATGAATATACTTAATATTTTTATTCCAAACATTTTTAGAATCTTTAATAATTCACAGAAAAAATGAATAATTTTAACCAATGTGTGAAATAGTGATTTCTCTTTGTCCCGTGCCTCACAAGATATTTCTTGTTATTCTTGTGTATAATAGATGTGGTTACATATTTTATTCTGTCATATTTTGATTAACTCTTGAATTGTAAAGCATTAAAAAATGGGAAAGAGCTATCATCAAATCTAATAAAATTACATTGCAATAAATATCAATGAATGTCCCATGCATCCCACGGAGAATTGCCCATATGCACATTTCCAGCAATTTGTATAAACTAATACATTTGCGAATGAATGTGCTTCCAATGACTTTAAATGAAGTTTTTCGAAAACTCAAAAAAATTCTGTGGAAAAGTTCTTCACATGTATTTCAACTGACATTTGCACTGATAACAGAAAGCGATAATAATGTCCGCCGGTGGTTCGCGTTGATATAAACTATCTTTTTCATTTACGGCAAAAATACGCATCGCGCTTCGTTGGTACATATATGTAGAACGTGAATAGACTCAATTCATTGGAAGAACGCTTGTTTTCAATTAAACACTAGACGTTTTTTTAAATGTATTTTTTGCGTTTCGTTTTTTAAATGTTTTCAAATGGTAATTGAATTGTAAGTCAGACTTCCTCATATTATAATATTACATAAACATCAACAATATCGCGATAAAGTACGTGCTATTGTAGAAGCACTAGTTTACACATATATTTCGTTATTAGGTATTGTAGTTTGCTTTAATCAATTTTCATATTTCATTTGTTTGAATTTAATCTTTCATATCAATTTGTGTTTCAGACTCATCTTTTTGTAATCGTCACTATTTCCATTCTGCTATGGTCACATGACCGGGAAAGAAGAATATTAAGCCATAAACTTCTCTCACATCCTCGCTTTGTGATTCAGTGCACCACGACTGATACGCTCGTCATTGTCATCATGATCATGCACTTTATTATCCTAATTGTCATCATTATCTCTCTCATATCTTCCTGGTTCAATCTATTTAATACAGCACATCTTCTGCAATTTAAAGAATGTATTTATTACTATTGCTTTTATAACACTTTTTAATACTCTGAATAAATTGAAATGAAAGTAGTGATTTGTCTTTCGCATTCATTTCTTGGTGTTCCAGGCTTAAAAGAAATTATTTTATTTTTAAAGGTTTATAAATCAGTTTTAGTTGCAAGAAATTTAATTATTTTAACCATATTAATGTGATACACAAATACGTATTTTTATATTAAACAGTAATATTAAATAATTTATAATATTTATTATATTAAAAAATAAATGATTATGTATTTATTTATTATGTTAATTATATTTAAATTAATCTTGAAAAGCTTTAACGGTAACTTTTCAATTAAAATTTTGATTTTAGATACATTAAAAAATTGTGGTAGGTATGGTGATACTTTACATAGTAGTTTCAATGGATAAATAATATAACTAAAATAAAATAGTTCTTGCATTTGTCATTTTGTATGGATATTTATTGTTAGAGTAGTGCACCGTCATTCGCCTGGTGTATATCGGAGAAACCAGGAAAAAGCACCGATCAGAGCACCCGGTCGTTAGAATTCTCCTCCTAACGGCGGCTGACTTCGACCCATCAGTATCCTGCCACCAGCGGGACTCGAACCTTCCCGCCAGAGGCAGTGCATTGACAGCTGTGGATGCCTTGCGCCACTTGAGGCAGAGAATAAAAGGCAGGGCTCTACACCCACCTGCGCGTAGGGCTGCTGCGAATGGAGCGACACGTTCGCCGCCGCGCTCATCCGGTTCCACACGTGGATGACGTAGCTGCCGTTGATGGCGGCCATGGTGAGCGCCGCGCCCTGCTCTTGGAAGTAGCGCCGCCACTGGGGCCACGGCACAGGGAAGAAGGCCGACGGTGGCAGCACCCGGAAGCCCGCGCAGCGCTCCGGCGTCATGTCCGACACCTGCGGCGGGAAGACGCCACTCGCACACTGTTCTCTATCGCCAACATTGCGACTAGAAGCGAATGAACCAACATATTAAATATGTGAAGGTACATGTTTCTCCTTTCCACCACTTCACATAATTCTTTGCACGTTGGATATTTCCCGTAGGTATGGAAAACAAGGTAAGTCAATTCTTAGTTCGTGTGTTGTCGGCTAAAATTCGTGCAAGATGTACGTTTGCATGGCAAGAGTGTTCTTCAATTGGCTTTTTGGTGACCTACATTTATGTAAATACATTTCGTCGCGATAAACCTTGCCGCAACCGCTCATCTTTCATCCAACACGACTAACCTCCCCTTTCCTCACGAATTTGGTAGCCTTTGTTTGCGTCTACTGCGAAACACGTCAGTTGTGCAATCCTACGCGAAAGGTCGGTGAAAACTGGAAAAGTGCGGTAAAGTTGTAAGTCTTTCGGAATTTGCGAATGATAAAATTGATTAATCGACACAAATAGGCCCAATTTAAAGAACGGTAATTTTTGCGATGCCATGACATGTGAATTTGGTTCACAAAACAACTCTTAAATCTTTACATAATTTAAATATAGTGATGCAATTGTTATATAAGTTTTTAACATATAATAATTATTTATATTAACGATATTAATAATGAAAAATGTAACAAATTTTCTTTGAGAAATGGTTAAGGAAATAAAATGTACCTTTACAATAAGAAAAGCATTGAGTGTACTGGGAAGGGCTTGCTCCCACCGTCATTTGACCAAATTCATTTGACTTTGAGGAAGCAACGGCAACCTCCATACCCGCGCGCTCGTGTTTTTTAAAACAAATCTTGATTTGTCGGTGTCATAATAGCAGAACGGAAATATTATTTTTAAAATATTAAAGAACAGTAAAACATCGCCCTAAATGACAATTATCTTTGAAACGTTTGGAACCGCTTTTAAGAGAATGGCTGCAGTAAATTCGAAATTTGAGGCACTTGTTCACACACAATTTTCGAGTTTTCAAAATTCTTCATTGAATTCATTTGAAGCACTTTAACTCACAAATACAACGCTGTTTACAAATTGCTGAAAATATGCTGGGTATATTAACGAAGTGAGAAATCGTTCAAAAAATAACTTTGTGTAATTTTTGAAAAACAAAAAATACCCCGAGATGAACTATAAGAGTTAAAGAGTGGAATTAGAACTATCGTTTTGAAAAGTGTGGAGCCGTTTTTGAGTAAACGGCGTTTGAGCGTTTCTGAAAATGCGAAATTTTGAAGTAGTTTTCACAGAAAATTGTTGAGTTTTCGAGACACTTAATTTGACATTATTTAAAGCACATGTACTCATAAATATATTAATGTGAACAAATCGCCATTAATATAAATATTAACCACGTGAGGGACACGTCAAAAAATTACATTTTTGTTAATTTTTAAAAACCAAAGAATAGAGAAAAATGGCGTTTATGCTATCTCTTAGAATACATTTAGCACTGTCTCCATCAAAAGCTTAAAGAAAAAAATTGGAGCAGTTCTTATTTTTTTAATTTTTAAAATTGCAATCGTTTACCATAAGCTTTACAACATTGCGTTGCCTTGTAACAACCAGTCGTTCTATCAACAATGAGTTTAAAATTGTCACAATGACAATAATTGTAATGTTTGCTTGATACATCGCTTACATCCATTTAGTAGGATAACTTTTTTATAAGCTATGTTTTGTCGATGAAAATCGAGAGTAAATATATAGTTTTTAAGAGAGGAGAGGGAATGGCCTCGCCGCTTATCACCCGAAATTGCTCGTTCAGATTACGGAAACCAGCAGTCAGTTGGCGTCTTTAAAACTCTTAATTTCTCGAACATTTTGTAATGTAACATATGGCGATATGCGTATTTATGAACTCGTCTCTTTACACGTTATAATGAGCTAAAAATATATAGGGTTCCATGTAAAAAATCGAAGTTAGAAATATATGTCTGCAATAAAAAAGCAATAGAATACTATTATGCATGACCATATGTGTCCCTTGAATACAGTAGTTTTAGTGAAAACCGCATCTCAGTATCTGCAACGGTTTTGGAGAAAATTGAAAGGAACATCTTAGGCGGGCCACACGGTATTATTACACGGAGATAATAAAAAGATAATGTAATTTAGGAGATGATAAAAACATAAAGTAACTGAATGTCTTATGCATGCACCGAATTTTGAATTACGTCAAAGTATTTTTAGATGGTGTTGAGGCGGCGAAATACTCGAAGAGTATTGTAATATATTTCTAAAAACGGTAGATTGTAAAAGGAAAAAGTAATCCTTATTTCTCCCTTATTCACGAAATAAAGCAATGAGACATGCTTGTGTTATCATATAGGATATATTATTTGTTTTTGTTACATTCTCGTCATCTATCCCAGCACCTACATTACGTAATAATTTATTGTGAAAATTATAATTCCTAATATACTAATGAGAGGTAAAGATGATATAAGTTATTCTGTAGCCCCAATATGTTTTTTTAGTTGTTCTACTGAATGATTATCGTTATTTAAACCATATATAGTGTGGTATTTATTATATTTGAAATTTTCGACCTTGTATATTTCGTAGATATGATGTTTAATGCGAAAATGCTCAAATGACTACAAATAAATTCATTTATCTTTTGAATTCTCTCAAAGTGTAGTATTATTGATCAGATCCTGGGAAACTGATTAATTGTGATGGGGGATATCCCCCACATAAATCAAAAGGTATGTATGAATATTATTTTTAAAGTAACATATCCAAAGGGTTCCAATATTTTTAGATGTATCTATATTCACATCACATTCCAATTTATGCAATATTTTTAGACAATCATCAATCATACTAATTCGTCGAAAATATGAAATTTTAAAATATTTAGCGCATTGTATTATAATTACGTGTGTTGAGTGCATACGGGTATTGATTTATAAAAGTTGATAATATAGAAAGGGATTCATTTTCTTTTTTTAACTCCCGTTTCTCTTTTTTCCATTTCCAAACTATGACGTTTTATTTCTTCGAATGCAGATGCATTTTTTGTGTGATTGAACACCATTATAAATAGTTTTAGCACCACTAATACTGCTAACAGAGATCCAATAAATCCAACATATTCTCTAGATTATAATTTTTTGATGGAAGAGCTAAATTTAATGACATACCAGAACCTTTTTTCTACTATCATTTTTATCTTTTATTTGTTTAGAATATAAAATATCATCAAAAATTAATATTTCTATTATCATCTCCCAAGAATGTAAATGTTATAGATTTCACCTTTATTGTATTCCCCAATCAGGTTATATTTCGATATATTTTCGAAATATTTATTCGAAATATTTTTTATGTCTATTTGCTATATCATGATACTTACAATCTCCATCAAGTGGATTAATTCCTTTATCACCACGTTCTAATCGAGTTTTTAGATCTGTAATAGATCCACAATAATTATATCCAGGAATATGTAGTTCTGATGGTAAATGATTATTTGCCCAATTAATTATTCCAGCACCATGATTTTAAGATTTCCGAAAGATATGTGGTAAATTATGAAAAAGTCAAATTAGATATGGAATTCCTTTTCCTTATAAAAATTATTATTTCCAACTCATTCTTCAGCATGAATCACAAATAATCAATGAGATCCTGTACATCATTCATCCAAACATACTCAATAGGTTTTTCATTATATCTGATAATAATTCCCATTTAATATTTTAGTGATGTAACTAATTTTGTTCTTTGTATTTTTGTTCAACCCATATTTTTTTAAATATCTTATTTCATTTTTCTCCAACATTTGATCAACTTGATTAGTACTTGGATCATATTCTTTAAATATAAGATGTGTTTTAATTACGGTTTATTTACATTCTTCTAAATCTTCAGATGTATGTCTAATATCTGATAATGATTTATGTGTTAATCGATCTAATAATCCATCAGCACCTTCATATTTTTTTCCTTTGTATACTTGTATCATTGTAATTAAATTCAACTCTCGTATAACCAATATATTAATATTTACTCACAGGTAAATATTAATATATTGTAATATTTAACCACAGGCACAATAAATTGTGTCTTTATAGTATAATAGATTGTAATATTTATAGTTATTTTTACCCACAGGTCCAATATATTGGTACTATATATTGGTATCTACCGGTCTGAAACCAAATGCAAGATCATTAACATTCTTAAGATATTCAGTTAATTTAAGTCCTAAATTATTTTTTTCTTTTCTTCGTCTTCTATTGCTTTCAATCGTTTTTCTGATTCAAATCATTTCGGCGTATCTGGTGATTCATGTAAATATTTTTCAAACCACGATTCTTATGGTGTTGTTGGTATTGGGAAAAACTATCATTATCATAATCAAAATCATGGTTTTTGATACTATTTGTTTATCATGATCAAGTTAGTGTTTAATAGAATGAATAACTTGTTTACAAACATTCTCTATTTTACCAACTAAATCGTCTAATTTACTTATGTCAGGTTGATCTTCTTTTTCTATTTTTCATACTGATTACGATCATGTTGATTCCATTCTTGCAATGTATGTTATTTTTTCCTTCTGTTCTCTTATTTGTTTTGTCCCCCAAAGTCCATCTCATCAGAACAATTTACTAAAAAACTAAAAGACAAAATCTCCCAAGACAATATTGTTATAACGAAAGCGGACAAAGGCAATTCTATAGTGATTCTGGACAAGAAGAATACAACAACCAAAGTACTTCTTTTCTGATTTATCAAGGGCAAACAAACGTGCATCTCCACTCCTTAATAAAACGACCCCCACTAGACAAACACCCACAACTTCCTGTATAACCAAGACTCCTGAATCTAAAGCTCTATTCACTTCATACCACGAGAGAATTCTTCCAGCAGTCAATCCAACTCCCTCCAAAGTTATATGGATTTACGTCTAAATACACAAATCAACCTGTTCCCATTAGAACCTGTAGTATCATACACTAACACAACAGAATTGCTTACAAAACTGAACAAAGACTTCAAACAATACGCACAGTTACCAGCACTCTCAAACAGCACAATACTCCAACAGTTCTGACCGTCAATCAAGATAAGACTTGCCAGTCCCTCTAAGCCAAAACTTTGTTTTCTTTCGAATGTGGTAAATCTTTTTCCCAGTGGCCTAACAGCTGACTAGCAAAAATATTCCTTAAAGACCAAATTGACAATCCGACGTGTGCCGTTCCACAAATCGACTGAACTGTAAAGATTCTAAATTTCCTCTAGCATAGATGCCAACTAACTTTCA